TGCGTCAGGCCGCCTGGGCCACGCGGGAGGCCCGAGTGGGCTCCGGGTCGAGGGCTCGGGGACCCCAGGGTGAGCGTCAGCCTCGTTCCCAGGAAGCCCCGTCGTCCCCACCGAGGCCCCGGACTACGCCGGCTGGAGACAGAGGCCGGCCCGGCCACAGGCTGCAGGTGCTGGACAAGAGGCCGCTGTCCCGCCGAGGCCGCCAGCGGGGACGGCAGAGCCATGCCCTGATGGCCGAGAAGGCCCGGTCCTGGGGCACGGAGGCGGGAGGCGTGTGCACATGGGTGCACACGTGCATGCATACGGGCACACGCATGTCCACACTCACTGGCGCCGCCCCGGCGTCGCGGGCACACCTGGCCAGTGTACATGCCCAGCATGCTCGCATGCACACGGCGCTCGTGGGCCCGCTGTGGCAGTGATGGCGAGGGTCCCCACGGCCTCGGGGATGGCAGCCGGCGCCGCGGCCTGCGGGCTCAGCAGAGCACCGGCACGCCGTCCGTGGAGAAGATCATGCCCGTGGTGGGCTCGTAGGTGCCCGCCAGGTAGTACAGGCCCTCGCTGTCCTGGTACTTCTTGGTCTTGAGCATCTGCTCGTACTGGTCCAGGCCCACCACCAGGCACTTGTGCGACACCGTCTGCACGTCGTTCTCGTCCACGTGCGAGGACTGGTACAGGGCGCGCTGCGGGCACGCGGGGGTGTCAGGGCCGCCGCGCTCCCGGGCCAGTGGGGCCAGGGCCGAGGGAGACCCAGAGACCGAGAGACAGACCAGAGAGACCCAGGGACTGAGAGAGCAGAGACTCGGAGACAGAGAAAGAGGCCCGGGGAGACCCAGAGATGGAGAGAGAAGCTGAAAGAGACCCAGAACACCGGAGAAAGAACAGCCCGAGGACAAGGACGAAACTCAAGAGACAGGCAGCCCAGACGACGAGAGACTAAGAGCGACCAAGAGAGCCCGAGGACAAGAACAGAGACTCAGAGAGAGAGAGACACAGAGGCCGGGAGCCAGGCCGCCCACGGAGACGGGGACGCAAGCCCCAGGCCCAAGGCGCGGGAAGGCCGAGCCCAGGCCCGGGGAGGGTGGCCGCCAGGGTGGCCCGCCGCCCGC